AGGGCAGCAGGAAATAGAGTGCTTTAGAAGGGTATTGCAACCAGTATTGCCCAATACACTCCAGTATTCTTGCCTGGAGAACCCCCTGAAAGAGAAGTCTGGCAGGCCACAGTCCACAGGGTCACAAAGAGTTGGGCACGACCGAAGCAACCCTGCATGCTTAGATGCAAGACTTTTTTTGCCTGTGGCAGCTCTGCCCCAGTAAGGGTTGAGCGTGAAGGTGGCACAGCTTCTTGGCTTGCAGGGACCCTGGTGGCACCAACTGTGCAGGGACACAGACTGCCTCCACCGCAAGAATTACGGCCCTATCAGAGTCTTTTTTTGAGCCTCTTGTATCTGGCAATCGGAAGGCCTCTTTGGCCAGTCTTTCTCCAAAGCTCTGCCCATTCAGGCACTTAGAGGGTTCCCTTGCCTGGGGTCCTCCTCTGTCGTTCCACACGTGAGGCACATAGACATGGCTGGGGTCCTACTCTGTAGATCGACACGTCAAGCACTTAAAGGGGCACCCTGGGTGGGGTCCTACTCTGTAGTTCAGTACATCAGGTGTTTGATGGGCCAGCCTCTCTATTGTTGAGCTGTGGATGTGAGTTTTACACGGTTCTATGTATTATCTTATGCTGGTCAGGTACTCTTATCTGCTCTCAGCTGGTGTTCTGCATGCATTTCGGTGTCTGAAGTCGTATTCCTGATGTATCCGTGAAGAGAGATGTACGCCACATGCACCTACTTCTCTGCCATCTTGTCCTCCTAAAGTTTTTGATTAAAGTATAGTTCATTTTACAATGTTTTGTTAGTATCAGATATACAGCACAATGATTCAATTATATACACACACACACACACACACACACACACACACACACACACATATATAGACACACACATATATACACACACACACATATACTCCTTCAGATTCTGTTTTCTTATTTGTTGGTGTTCAGTCACTAAGTTGTGTCCAACTCTTTATGACCCCATGGACTGTAGCCTGGAGGCTTGTCTGTCTGTGTGATTTCCCAGATAAGAATACTGGAGTGGGTTTCCATTTCCTTTTCCAGGGGATTTTCCTGACTCAGGGATCGAATCTGGGTCTCTTGCATTGGCAGGCAAATTCTTTAGCGCTGAGCCACCAGGGAAGCCCTGTTTTTCCTATACATTATTACAAAATATTGAAGATAGTTCCCTATGCTATACAGTAGGTCCTTGTTGGTTATCTATCTCACATATAGTAGTGTGTATATGTTCCTCTTAACCCCCTTTCGCCTTTGGTAATCTTAAGTTTGTTTTCTAGGTGTGTGAGTCTCTTTCTGTTTTGTAAATAAGTTCATTTTTATCCTTTTTTTTCCCTTAGATTCCACATACGAGTGATACCATGATATTTTTCTTTGTCTGGTTTACTTACTATGATAATATCTAGGTTCTTCCAGTTCAATTCAGTTGCTCGCTTGTGTCCGACTCTGTGACCCCATGGACTGCAGCACCCCAGGCTTCCCTGTCCATCACCACTCCTTGAGCTTGCTCAAACTCATGTCCATTGAGTTGGTGGTGGCATCCAACCATCTCATACTCTGTCGTCCCCTTCTCCTGCCCTCAATCTTTCCCAGCATCAGGGTCTTTTCCAATGAGTGAGTTCTTTACATCAGGTAGCCAAAGTATTGGATCTTCGATTGGACTATTGGAGTATAGGTCCTTCCAAGTTGCTATAAATGGTGTTATTTCACTCTTTTTTATGGCTGAGTAATATTCCATTGTGTGTGCATCTTCTTTATCCACCCACCTGACAGTGGACATTTAGGTTGCTTCCATGTCTTGGCTGTTGTAAATAGTGCTGCTGTGAAAACTGAGGTGCATCTAACTTTCTGAACTATGTTTTCCTCTGGACATATGCATACGAATGGGATCATTCAATCATAATGAAGCTCTATTTTTAGTTTTTAAAGGAACCTCTGTACTGTTTTCCATAGTGGCTGCACCAATTTATTTAATACATTCCCACCAACAGTGAAGGTTTCCTTTTTATCCACATAATTTCAGCATTTATTATTTATAGACTTATTCATGATAGCCATTCTGACTGGAGTGAGGTGATACATCATGGTGATACATCATTTGCATTTCTCTAATAATTAGCAATGTTGAATACCTCTTCGTGTGCTTGCTGACCGTCTGTATGTCTTCTTCGAAGAAATTTTTATTACCTCTTCTGCCCATTTTTTAATTGGGCTCTTTGATTTTTTAATATTGAATTGTATAAGCTGTTTGTGTATTTTAGAAATCAATCCCTTGTTGATCTCACCACTTGCAAATATTCTCTCAGTGGTAGTTTGTCTTTTTGCTTTGTTTATGGTTTCCTCTGCTGTGCAAAAGTTTTAAATTCAGTTAGGCCCTGTTTATATTTGTTTTTATTTGCACTGTTCTAAAAGACACATCCAAAAAGATATTACTGTGATTATGGCAAAGAGTGACCTTCCCATGTTTCCATCTAGGAGTTTTATACCAATAGTGTCTGGTCATATATTTAAGTGTTTAATCCATTTTTAGTTTATTTTTTATATAGTATAGAAAGAAAGTGAAGTTGCTCAGTTGTGTCCAACTCTTTGTGACCCCATGGATTGGAGCCTACCAGGTTTCTCTGTCCATGGGATTTTCCAGGCAAGAGTACTGGAGTGGGTTGACATTTCCTTCTCCAGGGGATCTTCCCAACCCAGGGATCAAACCTGGGTCTCCCGCATTGTAGGCAGAGCTTTTACCATCTGAGCCACCAGGGAAGTCGATTATGTAGTATAGAGAGTGTTTTAATTCATTCCTCTACATGCAGCTCTCTAGTTGTCCCAGCACCACTTAACTGAAGAGACTGTCTTTCCTCCACTGTATATCCTTGCCTCCTTTGTCATAAGCTAACTGACCACAGGTGTGTGGGTTTATTTCTGGGCTTTCTCCCCTGTTCCATTGATCCATATGACTTTTGTCCCAGGATCACACTATTTTGACTACTGTAGCTTTGTAGTACACTCTGAAGTCAGGAAGCCTGCTTCCTCCAGCTCCATTTTTCTTTCTCTAGATTGCTTTAATTACTCAAGGTAATTTGTTTCCAAATTAAAAAATTTTTAGTTCTAGTTCTGTGAAAAATGTCATTGGTAATTTGATAGGGATTACATTGAATCTGCAGATTGCCTTGGGTAGTATAATCATTTTAACAATATTCAATCTTCCAATCCAAACAAAGGTATATCTTTCCATCTGTGTTGTCTTCAATTTAGTTCATCAGTGTCTTTAGTTTTCAGACTAGAGGTCTTTTGCCTCCCTAAGTAAGTTTATTCCTAGGTATCATATTTTCATTGATGCAATTGTAAATGGTAGTGTTTCCTTAATTTCTCTTTCTGATCTCTCATTGTTTGTGTATTTTTGCAATATCCACAAATCAATTGGTGTGATTAACCACATTAACACACTGAAGAGTAAAAACCATGCAATCATCTTAATAGATGCAGAGAAAGGTTTTGATAAAAATTAACAGCCATTTATAATAAAAACTCACCAGAAAGTGGGCATAGAGGGAATCTATGTCAACATAATAAAACCCATGTATGAAAAACCCACAGCAAACATCATACTCAATGGTAAAAAGCTGAAAGTTTTTTTCTCTAAGATCAAGAAAAAGACAAGGATGCCCACACTTGCCACTTTTATTTGCTATAGTTTTGGAAGTCCTAGCCATAGCAATCAGAGAAGAAAAAGAAACAAAAGAAATTCAAATTGGAAAAGAAGTAAAACTGTCACTTTTGGAGATCACATGATATTACATAGAAAACCCTATCCTTTCAATTATTAAATTATTTAAATGATTGATTTATACTTCTAATGCCATAGCCTAACTTATAAGCAGCCTTAATAAAAGAGCTTCTCATCAAAGTGAGCCTCTCTGCAAAAGAATTCTGTACCACTGTCCTATGAAGACAATATTCTCCTCACATGTGGAGGCCCCATGATGCGTTCAGCTAGAATTTTTAAAAATTCTATAATACGCAATGCCTTAACATGCCCTAATTCTACTGGGATTGGAGATAGGAAGCAAGCCCAGGAGGAGATCTGTGGGGAGGGGGCTGCCTCCTCCCTACCTACTTGTTCTGAAAGCTGAAGCTAGGCTGTAAGAACTGGTTCAGGAGTGAAGGTAGAGGGCAGAGTAGTGGAAGAAGAACTGGGAAGTTGAAGGAAGTCTAGGCTATTGGCAAAGTCCCAGGGATGCCATATCAAGGGCTATCTAATGGCTCAACATATTCTACATCTTGGGAGAACTCTGTGACTCTCTAGACCCTGGTGATTCATGATGGATGCAGAGCCTCAAAACAACTGCTGTCACCACCACAGAGAGCCTTCCAGGTCCACCCAAGTCAGTCAAGCTCAAGGCAGAGGTACCCAGGTATATCCTTCAGTCCCAGAATGATACCCCTGGAGGGGCCAGGCCTGATTAGAGACTCTGGGGAATATGTGGTACAAGGCAGAACTGCTGCTTTCAGACTAAAGAGATGAGACTTCAAATATTCCAGCATCTCCCAGTTCTGAGATTCACTTCTGTTGTGGGGTGGCGGGGAGGGGAGAGAAGGGCACCATCTGGAGTGGGGCTGCTCCAGGGCTGGAGGCTCTTGGAAACATGGTGGTGTGGAAGGTGCAGTTTCTCACAGCCTTGCAGCTTTGACCACATTCGTGGGTAATATTTTAGAGACTTGGTGTCAGAGAAGAAGGGCAAATAACAAATAACTCTGTGTGTGTTGTTTGTTGATCTTTAGTGATGCCCAAACAGAGAGCTAGTAGATAGAAACGTTTTAACTGGAGGAGGAGATTCTTGTGCTAACACAAGTACTTATTTAATCTGAACACTAGAAATAATGCATTTTTGTCTAGATCAAATGCATTTGCTCCAAGAGCCAACAGGTAGTCAAACTCATCATTGTGAGTTCTTGACCCTTAAAAATCAACACCAAGGTTTGCTTTTGCTGCAGGTCCTCAAGTATGTTCCATGTAATGAAGCACAGTCACTATATATCCCGGTTTGGCAGCAAACTGGGGTTGCAGTTCATCGGCATGCACGAGAAAGGCATCATATTCAACAATAACCCAGCGCTCTGGAAAGCTGTTCGACCTTTCTTTACAAAAGGTATTCAGGTGACGGGTACATTCTGCTGCTTTGTCTATGAGCATGTCTGTTTTGAAATCATTTTTAACTTCTGCTGCTTCACAGTTTTAAAATGGTTACAGCTAACATTCATTACATATGTATTATATAGTAGGTGCTATTTTAAACACTTAATTCTTACTTCCACAGTAACTCCATGTAGTAAACAATAATAATATCACCCACATTTTGCAAATGAGAAAACTGAGGCATAAAGAGGTTAACTGCCTTGCCCAATTTCCACCATTAGTAAATGGTAGCACAGAAGACAACCCCAGAGCCTACATATTTAACCACTTTGATCTGGTTCTTCCTGTTTCTACATCCCTCTCATGGATTTAAAAAAGAATTGGCTCTCTATACACTGAATGTCACTTCAATTAAGAATTTAGTGCATCAGCCATATTTAGCACAGCCAACATGTTTGCTGAACCATTGGTTGACATCCCACATGTTTTAACAGAAAACAGTTTGCAAATAGCTTAGAGAATTTTAAAACTGTAAATGGCTATATATGTCATTTCTTCCAGGCTCTAGGTTTTTTACTTAAGTAAATACATTTCTAGAGAGCTTATGACTTTTCCCCAAGGCCACATAGCCAGTTATGGAATAGCAAAAACTAGATTCCAAACATCCTTATCTAGAGATTTCCCTCTTTACCATCTGCCACTGGAATTGAAGTCTTTCTTATTGTTTTATGGGTCAAAAGTCTGATGTGGGTCTCACAAGGCAATAATCAAGATACTGCTGCTGCTGCTGCTCCTAAGTCACTTCAGTCCTGTCTGACTCTGTGTGACCCCATAGATGGCAGCCCACCAGGCTCCTCTCTCCCTGGGATTCTCCAGGCAAGAATACTGGAGTGCGTTGCCATTTCCTTCTCCAATGCAAGAAAGTGAAAAGTGAAAGTGAAGTCACTCAGTCATGTCTGGCTCTTAGCGACCCCATGGACTGTAGCCTACCAGGCTCCTCCGTCCATGGGATTCTCTAGGCAAGAGTACTGGAGTGGGTTGCCATTTCCTTCTCCAATCAAGATACTGGGAAAACTCTATTCCTTTCTGGAGGATCTAGGGAGAAAATGTTTCTTTGCCTTTTCCAGCTTCTAGAGGCTGCCCACATTCTTTGGCCCATGGCCCTATCAGTGATATTACAATTTGTTTATACATCTGAAATGTGGATTCAAACTCTTGAACTTAAAGGCAAATCAGACATCAGCCTGGGACTGATATTCAAGGTCAGTCCTTTCGTGCAAAGGATTGATTCATGAAGGAATTAGTTGTCCCACATGTGGATGTGACAGTCACCCAGAAAACAGCATCTCTACCTTCCATATCTCCAACTCCTTCCTTAAGTCAGAAAGTATGCTGCCAACCCAAGCTTCTTTTTTATACATGGATGGACATGCTTAGAGTCTAGAACCACTTACAGATCTCTTTCTTCTTTGTAAAGTGTGTCTTCAGGGGCTCTGCAGCACAGCTGATTTGCTTTGTTTGAGCACTTTGAATTTAACAGCAAATCTGAATAATAAAAGACATAAAAAAGCAATTACTCCTAAAGAAAACTCAAAGAAACTTGGAACCCGGGGAGAAATAATTTTAAGAGTTAAACTCTCAAGTTAGACCATCTGCCATCATAACCCAGTAGCTGCTAAGACAGTCAGGAGCAGAGCAAAGGGAGAGAACAGAGCTAGTTAACTCTACCAGGTTTCATTCATTCCTCTATTTGACAAATACACTTGGAGAGCCACCATGTACTATGGACTTGAAGTACAAAGCTAATAGGCTATGATCGCCCTGAAAGAGTGCCCAGTTCTATGAGAAGACTGCTCAAACAAGGGTTTGTTTTGTTGTTATGACACTGATTGAGTAAAATAAATGATTGTAGTTTGAAGAGAAACTAAGATTAAGAGAAGGTTATATTTGGTAAGCGCTTCCCAGTTGACTCAGTGGTAAAGAATCCACCTGCCAAGCAGGAGACACAGGTGCGACCCCTCGGTCAGGAAGATCCCCTGGAGAAGGAAATGGCAACCGACTCCAATATTCTTGCCTGGGACAGAGGAGCCTGGTTGGCAACAGTCCATGGTGTTGCAAAGAGTCGGACATGACCTAGCGACTAAACAACAACAAAAACATTTGGTAATTTAGAAAATTAACATTTTACATGTATAACCTATAATTAAACAGTAAGCACCTTAGATCAAAACAGTAAGATCCAATTTGAATAGTTCTGTAGCAATATTCTGCCACCCTATGAAACATAAAATATCCTACTACCAAATCCAAATCTTCCTTAGAAGGGTATATAATAAACATGGTAAATCACAGATTTGTGATTTATAACCCCAAGTATTACATATTTCATTTGCAATCTCACAAATGATTTGTTATCATATGAATAAAAGTATAATTTTGAATAGTCTGTTTTAAAAATACTTATTTCTTCATTTTTAACCATAAATGTGATGACCTGCTATAGAAAATTAGAAGAATACCGAAAAAGTATGAAGAAGAAAATGAAAATTTCAACCCACTTACTGAATAAAAATCTGTGGTCAGTTAAGCTCCAAACATAAAAGGCCAAAATTGCCTGATTGCTTGTGTGTCCTGGAGTTGGAGGTAGCTCACTCTGATGTTGTCCCCTTCAGCTTTGTCCGGCCCTGGCCTGGTGCACACGGTGACCATCTGTGCTGATTCTATCACTAAGCATCTGGACAGGTTGGAGGAGGTCCGCAATGACTTGGGCTATGTGGACGTGTTGACCCTCATTCGGCGCATCATTCTGGACACCTCTAACATGCTCTTCCTGAGGATCCCCTTGGATGGTACTGAAATTTTCATTCTCATGACTTGACATTCAGCCCTTTACTAAACAGGGCATTAGAAGGGTAATGAACTCATGGAAAGATACGCTCTTTTGTACACTGTTCTTCTTTAAATCTTTCTAAGTATTCCTAAAGTATTTTCCTGGTATGTCTGCATTCTTCATTTATAAGCTCTTAAATATTCATAGCAAGAGCCATCTTCTATTTCTTTTGTATCTCTCCTCATTGCTCTACGTAATAGGATAATTCTATCCACAGCTGAAACTTAATAGATGTGATCATTTCATTTGGTCATAAATATATTCTACCACCAAACCTATGTATTCAACCATTACCAACCATTCTTTTGCACATGATATATGCATACACACACACACACATACAAACCGATAGCCACATTCAATCTACTTAACTTTCTATGTATATATACAAACACACACACATAAAATATACACATATACCTCTCCCTCAAAGCCACTAAGTATGAAAACTTCAAGCTGATGCTGCTGAAAATGATGATGATAACTACCATAAATTTAGTATCTACAATGTGCCAAGTCGTATGAAAAATTGCTTCACATAAAGCTTGTGATTTAGCATTTATAACAATCCTGGCAAGATTTCTCACTCAAGAAGATGCTTTCCTCATTATATTATAGAAACAAATATTAAACACATCCATTTAACTCTACCACCAAGAAAAAACCAAACATTAATCATGTGGATTCATTCCATTCTGCTATTGTCAGCTTAAAGAAATTTCTCCTGATTTGATTTCTAACAGTCTTTATTGATTCATACATTCATTCAACTAATATTTATTGATTGCCTATTTTATGGAAGGTTTAGGTTCTGGGGTTACAGCAATGAACTAGATAAAGTCCTTGCCTTCAAAGAGTTTACATCCCAGTGGACATATGGACAGTAAACAAGTTACTATCTAGCAATATTTTAGGCAATAATAAGTGCCTTGGGAACAAGGAAAAGTAGGGCAAAGGGCTAGAAAGTGAAGGGAGGCAGTTGGAGAGAAGGCAAAACTACTGTGGAGAGAAGGGGTGATCAGGAAGGCCTCTGATCCTCTGATGTGGAATGGACATCTGAACAAAGCCCCAGATGAACTGGAGCCCTGAACCCTCTGCAGATCTGAGGGAAGAACATCACAGGAATAAGAACAAGGCATGGTTTTCACTCTTGCCCACACCAACTGAGCTATCATACCTGCTCCCTGACTTACCACATTTGGACAAGCAAACAAGTGATAAGCCCTCCCCTCCTTTTTTCCACTCTCTTCGCCTCCTCTCCCCACTCTTTAATTATTTCTTTCAAGAGGACATAACAGTCTGATTGACATCAGGATGGGCGTCTCATTCACTCTGAGGACCTTAGTCACAGCCTCTTGTCTGAACTCCTTTCAGACAGGCACTCTAAAAGTCCTATTTGTCTGTTCCACACACACTCCTAAGGATTGACAGGTACCTATTTTAGAAGTCCCTTCTTGATTCCCCAACAGCCTTGAATCTTAGGAGGGGTAAAGAAAAGTGCATTGTACAACTCTCTGTTAACTTATGGATGCAGATTTTGTTGCTAAGAACCTGCATAACGCATACAGAGTTCTGTGCATTTCCACCTGCTCACTGGGTCCTTGTTAAACTCTCAGTGAGCCTGGGGGCCACAGTGCATCAAAGAGGAAAGGACATGGCCCTGAGCTCAGATAGGACTGGGCTGCAGCCTACGAGCTGCCAGCCACACTGGCTGTATGGTGTTGGACAAACTTCCTCAGTTCTATGAACTGCAGCCTGCATCTGCACAACGAGGACACTCTTACTCCCTTCGCAAGACTGTAAGGATGAAAGGAAGTTTCTTTCTAAAGCACCTTACCCTGCGCCTGGTGTTTAGCAGTTGAAAATACAGGTCTTTTCCCTTCCCTTGTGTATAATTTGAGAAAAGCAGTGTTTTTCTTTTCTCTAGTATTCAATGTAATTAAAGAAAATCAATTAAGAACTGACTGTTCAGGAGACTTAGGATAAGGCACCGAAAACTACATGAATTCTACACTCTGAACTGAAATATAAACAGAAGAATGGTAAGACTTTTTGCCTTTGGTGCCAGACTGAGGCCATAATAACATTAATTACTGTTTATTTCCCATGATCAGGAAAACAGAAGATGTTGGAGGCTCAGCCAAGCCAAGGAGAAGCATGTGAGATTCTAAGCTGGGTCTCTACCATAAACATGAAAACTACCAAATCTCTGGTTAACTTGGCCATTTAGGTGCTAAAGTAGAATGGATTAGTGTTGATTTGTTTGGTGACATTCATGTGTTTGTAACACCCACTGAAGACAGAACTTTGTCCTGCTTAGAGTCCAAGATGCTAGGAGAGCCTACAGGGGATCTTCTTTCATTGGCATACCCTTCTTGGACTCACATTTTTGCTCATCTGCTCTGATGTTTTCCAGAAAGTGCCATCGTGGTTAAAATCCAGGGATATTTTGATGCATGGCAAGCTCTCCTTCTCAAACCAGACATCTTCTTTAAGATTTCTTGGCTGTGCAGAAAGTATGAAAAGTCTGTGTAAGTAACACATTTTGGAATAATTATTGACGAGACTGATTTGCGTGTGTCTCAGATATTTCTGGCCTCTTTGGCAAGCTTTCTCGTCCCCAGAACCACAGGGAGCTGTTGATTAAGACGCTGGTGAAGCACTTCTTACAGCGCTTTGGGCACATGTGGCCAGACCACAGGGGAAAGGCAGCCTTCGGCCCAGGGATGCTTTTCGTTTAGGAAGCTAAGAACCCCAAATCTAGAACTAGATTTGACACTGACGTGTGTTTTGAGTTGAAGACAAAAGGGTTGGCTGAACCTATCGTTATTATCTGTCAAATTTTTCTTTGCATGTCTAGAAAAATGGAAACACGAAATCATTTATTGTGTTCCATTGAAACAATTTAACTTAATTCAACTTGTAAGAACAGACAGTAGTCCCAAAATAATTTTTTCATGATGAATTTTTATAAGGTTTCCTTTCTTTGTTTGTTTGTTTAATTATACATCTTATGTCTTGGGGGATCCTAAAATAGTCATTAAATGGCTTTGCCTTGGTCTCACACTACTCTAGCAGAAGACTGGACAAATGCCCAGTGGCCTACTGGATAATCATTGGGTTTTCAGGGTGCAAGTGTTGTTGTTGTTTAGTCACCAAGTCATGCCCAACTCTTTTGCAACCCCATGGATTATAGCCCACCAGGATCCTCTGTCCATGGGATTTCCCAGGCAAGAATAGTGGAGTGAGTTTCCATTTCCTATGCCAGGGGATCTTCCTGACCCAGGGATCAAACCTGTGTCTCCTGCTTGGCAGGTAGATTCTTTACCATTGAGCCACCACAGGGAAGCTCCAGTGTGTAAGTTGCCAGCCACTAAACATGCCACCTCTAACCACCAATGGAAAACCCAGGGAATTTAAGAGGTGGACAGACCTGATTTGTATCCTACCTCTACCGCTTAGTAACCAAATGGTCTTGGGAAGTTCTTTAAAATAAAATATAACCTACTTTCCAGGGTGGGATATAGGTTAATGAGATCCTCTATGTAGGGCAATCAGTATAGAGTATGACACACAGGAGACAATAAACATGTCAGCTCTCTTCTTATCTCTGTTCATATCTTACTCAGATGTCCAGACTGTCTTAAATTCTCCAACTCGTAAAGTTCCCAAACTTGGTTGAAGAGCTAACTTCATCCATTTGCACATTTTGAAATTCAATAATATTAGTCTCCAAGAAGGAAGTCAGCTTCATGTTGCTCTTGCATGTTCTCAACTGGTCGATGAGTATCAGATGGATGATTTGGACACATGGTCCTTTAAACACTTCTCTTTGTCTCAACCAGAACTTAGTGTGACTTGAATCAATAAGGTCAATTATTCATCTCTTCACTCTGGTCAGATTTTGTGGTGGCCTAAAGAGTCATACAGAGTAAAGCAGAGACATTACTTTGCCAACAAAGGTCCAATATATATATATATATATTGGATTTAGCCTTTTGGTAACAGTTCTCAACATTTAACTATAGTTTATAGCCTTGACTTTGCTACCAGTAGCTAGATATGTGGCTAATTCTGGTTCCTTAATATGAATTGTAATGTATACATAATTTAAGGATATTTGCAAATAATTAAATATAAATTTTGTTATTCATGAACACTAATAGCTTCATCTACAGCATTTCATTTTATTTAAACAAATGGCAAATAAACCCATTTTTTGGTGTCTTAACTGAGTACAGGTAGATTATATTTTCACTTTTGTTTCCAGCAAGGACTTGAAAGATGCCATGGAAATTCTCATAGAAGAAAAAAGACACAGGATTTCAACAGCAGAGAAGCTGGAAGACTGCATAGATTTTGCCACTGAGTTGATTTTTGCTGAGGTACAGACCTACACTAACCATAATTCCTACACAACATATGTGTATGACTGTATGCAAGCATGCTCAGTCGTTCAGTCATGTCCGACTCTTTGCAACCCTATGGACTGTAGCCCACCAGGTTCCTCTATCCATGGGATTCTCCAGGCAAGAATACTGGAGTGGGTTGTCATTTGCTCCTCCAGAGGATCTTCCTGACCCAGGGATTGAACCCAGGTCTCCTGCATTACAGACAGGTTCCTTACCACTGAGCCGCCTGGGAAGCACGTATGATTGTGTATAGGTGTCTAAAAATTCCTACTTGTTAATTGTTGCATGTTTCCGCTTTTAAATGTTTGCTTTAGTGTTTATATAATATCCAAACTAAATAGCTCAGTATTAGACAATCTGATTGGACTGACCCTTAAGATTTAAACATCTCTATGTCTATACAATACAAAACATGAAAACCAGGGAGTGCAAAGACATTAAATACATAGATAAATGTCTAAATTGTTTGGTTTTGAGCTGAAGATTATTAATAAAAGTGTCCATTGTCAATTCCAGAGACTTGTAATTTCTACGATTTCATTTTGTTGAGGTAATTGATTCTTGAGTGCTACCTCCCTTCCTGTTCTGAACCTCGCTCACTTTCCCAGTATTTCTCTACCTTCCCATTCTTCAGAAACGTGGTGAACTTACAAGAGAGAATGTAAACCAGTGCATATTGGAAATGCTGATCGCAGCACCAGACACCATGTCTGTTTCTGTGTTCTTCATGCTGTGTCTCATTGCAAAGCATCCCCAGGTTGAAGAGGCAATAATGAGGGAAATCCAGGCTGTTGTTGGTAAGAATTTATCAAACAAACAACAGAGCTCAGAAAACAATTTCTTGATATGATCTTCTATGTCCTAAAATTTGTATGTCAAAAACTCCGTTATAATCTGCTCAGAGAACATTTAGGCAAGTCATTGTGTCATATTTTCATTATGCCAGACAGGTTGAAATGATAGTTCTTCCTATGTTTTCCTAACTTTAAAATAGCATACTCATTGAAAAAATCCAAATAATGGAGAGATGTATAAAGCAGAAAATACTGTCACCTGAACCCAACCACTCTTCTCCTCAGCCTCATCTCAATTCCCAGAGGGAATCACTGTTACTATTTTGTGTCTTCTTCAAGGTCTTTTTAAAGGGCCACATAAGCACATACATGTGGTTTTATATATGTCTGTGTTTAAAACACATGAGATCATCCACAAGGATTTGTACCAAAGGCTTTGGAAGGTCCACTCAGGGAAATGGCTATCATTTAAGGCAGTGTTTCTGGGTTTCAAGCAGCCCTCTCTTCCAGTTGGGAGCAGAGGGAGGAGAGAGGATGATAGCAAAGGCAGGGGAGCAATCCGTTTCCCTCCCCCGCAGTCCTGGACTGCCAGGCCCTTCCTCCCCCTACCCTCTCCTCCTCTGCACGGGATCCCCCAGGCCCCTGCTCAGCTCTCCCCAACCCCATCTCCTCCTGCTCTGCCTCTGCTTCACATCATTCTGCCACTGCTTCTGATATCCCCACCCTCCCCTAGAAATACTGCCACATTCAAAAGTCAAAATTGCTTTCTGGGAGAAAATGAAATTCTCTATTTGGAACGTGCTTCACATAAGTAATGCCTTTAGGAGTACATTTCAGACGCATGTGAAGAGATATCTGTAATGATAGACTTTTCTTTGTTGACTTTAAAGAATCTCCGTGAAACAACCCGTTTCATTGATGAAACGCAATATATTTTAAAAAAATTTTTATCTTATTTACCTTTAAAACAATTGAGTGCTGCTTGAAATAGTTGACAATCAGATGAAATTTCATACAAGTATTAAATATGTGAAAGAAGGTTTCTGCAGATGTGTTGCTGTAGGAGGAAAGCTGCCTGGGAAGGTAGAAAGCGAGGAACCGCAATAACCTCCAGGCTTCAGTTCTGGAATGTTTTCTCAAGCGCCCATTTCAGGTTATGGGTTCTGCGCCAGGTGCAGGGGCACCTGGTGAACAAGCCAGGTCCATCTCTGCAGTCCTGGGGCTCTCAGTCTCCTGAGAAAAAGAGAACTCAACGAGCAGGCTCACTGGAGTGAGGAGGAGAGCCATAGAATGGCAGACTGCAGACAAGGGGGAAACTGCTCTTGAGATCATACGCCTGTAATATAATCTCCTTGAGAGGTGAAAAGGGCTTGTGCTCCACGATGTCTCCCTGACAAAACAGGCCTCTTGAAACAAAAAACTGGGACAAACACTAGTGCATGTACACGTGCTCCCTCTAGATCCACACACCTGGTCATTACTTCCTAGGAAATGACTTGGATTACCTTCCCCATCATCTGCCCTCTACCTCCCCACCCCAGATAAACACGCCCATTCGACTCTGAAGTGTACAAAGAGCAGTACATGAAGGGCTGGGTCAGTAGAGTTCTCTGACCAAGTAAGACCTCTCCTGGATAGCATAGTTATACAGGACACAGACCTGCCTTGGGACTCTGGGTTGATTTTCATTCTACAGAAGTGATACACCATTTGAGAATGCTTTAAAGTTTTGCCAATTCTGAGAGTGATCTGAGCCTGTCTGACCAGTGTTGGGCCATGCTGAGATCATAGAGGTGTCCATCAGTCCCCAACTCACCTAGGGCTTATCTCAGGACCCCCTTTTGTGTGGTTGACATAGGGAGTTCTTGGCACCCTACCACACCAGATTGTTCTGGATGAGATGGGGAGGAGGGATAATCAAAGATATTTTCTGACAGATGACTGCACAGGATACCAGAAGAGAACATTTTCTTGAACATGATTAAACTTACCATCTCACTTTGACTAAAGAAGAAATTAACATCTTCTAGAATTTAGGGTAGGGAACCAAACTCAAGAACCAAAGAAGTGGCAGATAAATGTTTGAAGTAGACTGGGTAGGTCTACATGATGCTGCAGAGAGGAGTTCCTCTATAGGGCTCCTCAGACATTCAGCCTCAGTCAACTGCGGCCACGTGGGGGTGGATCCAATGTTTTTTTTGTTTTTGTCTTTTTTAATTTTCTAGAAATTTAGACTTAACTATGAAACCCCTAGGTGTTAAGAAAATTCTAATCAAAATTTTCATAAGACATTCTACGGAACAAGCACAGAATATTTTACTCCAGTTACTGGCTTACATTAGAATTGTAGATATACATGTTTTCAACTAAGAGGAAACTGTTCTGTGGAAAATGTATGATTTTAAACACTGAGCATATATTGAAACTAACATAAGTTGTGTCTTTTTTATCTTATTCTACAGGTGAAAGAGACATAAGGATTGATGATATGCCAAAGCTAAAAGTGGTAGAAAACTTTATTAATGAGAGCATGCGATACCAGCCCGTCGTGAACCACATCATGCGCAAAGCCTTAGAGGATGATGTCATCGATGGCTACCCGGTGAAAAAGGGGACTAATATTATCCTGAATCTTGGAAGAATTCATAGACTTGAGTTTTTCCCAAAGCCTAATGAATTTACTCTTGAAAATTTTGCCAAAAATGTAAGAGTCCTTCCTTAAAACTGAGTGTGCCACCCTTGAAAGAATCAACTGTTAAATCCCCTCTGTATTTGTGTTTGTACATTTCATTCTATTTACTCATCCCTTCCAGCATCACCAGGAGAGAACACAATTCCCCCGGCTAGAACATGCCCATCAGTTCTGTCCTCAAGCCAAGGAAGCTGGCTCTCCAGCTCTTGGAAATCTCTTCATGGAGGGCACATGAGAGATCAAAGTGTGAACAATTCAGGCCCTTAATTTGCCTAAAATGAGATGAAGTTTGTTTAACCAACCCACTTTTCCATTTAAACTTATCACCTTCTCATCATGTAGATTCAGCTATAGCATCATGTATGATGATTAGATGGAAATCAAATGAGAAGAAATGATTTGGTTTTTTCAGCCTGCCTTTGGTTCTCCAAATGGCCCCACAAGCACTAGTCTCTATTCTAAACATGACTTAGTAATTAGAAGAACTCCCATCTTGTTCTTAATTGAGATTAAGAACTAGAGATTCTACCTCCGTTATGTCAAATTCTAGGAAATTTTTTTAAAAATCTGAATTATCCATATAGTTCCCTCTGTGCCCCTTTTTCCATTGCCATGTGGAGAAGAGATATGATCTAAGTTAAACCAGTTCTCTAATTTGTTCTGCCTCTATATAAGCAACCCATGCCATATTGCTAATTGGTCTAAAATAACTAAGCATCTATTAGGTGCCAGATGAATCCAAATGGGGAAAAGACAGAGAGATGTGTCCCTTTAAATATTTGTATAACAAAAAATATTTAGATTCTTGGCATTAATAGGACAGGAATCCAAACTTTTGCCTAAATTTGTCCTTGTCATCAGGTTATATGGCCTGGGACAACAACAGTCTTTGTCTCAGTGACTGGCAGAAGAGCCGTAAAGATGTGGCCTTCCCACAGAGCTAGCTAGTACTTTACATCAAAATGTAGCTGGGAATTATTGAGGTTGTGTCTGTATCACAAAGGGTGAATCAAACTGGAAGGAGAAAGAGTCTTATCTGAGTCATAGTCATTCCTGTCTGTGAAGAAGCAGTATGGCCAAATCACTAAAACCGAGCATTCTGACTGACTATGTTTTCAGGGTGAATCAAACCAAGAGGCAAGACTCTAGCCTTTAGTACTCTGGCTAATTGTCTGATCTCTTTCCCAGGTTCCTTACAGGTACTTTCAGCCATTTGGCTTTGGGCCCCGGGCCTGTGCAGGAAAGTACATTGCCAACCAGGTGGTCCTCCTCACATGAACAACCATGGCCTGTGCCATTTTATAGGCTTACCTCCTGTGGGTTGTCAGCTAGCCAGGAGACACGGTTCATCTGACCAGATCCAAACCAGACACCAGGCTGCAAGAGAAAATAGAGGCCAAGAGTTTGTACAGGAAGCTGCAGCCCTAAAGACTCAATTCCACAAAACATGCTTTGAAAAAGACAAGCCACCAGCAAAATTCAGCCCAGCTCCTTACTGTCCTGCACTGAACTGGGAGCTTTTAAACATCTGGGGCAGAAGCACTCAATTTGATTACAAAGGCCAGGCCAACATCTGCGTACCTCAGATCAAACATATCTCCTAATGTGAATAAAATGGTTTTCATTTGCTTTTTGGTGGGGTGGGGACTACAACATCCACACCCTTGGAGAAATGCTTACAAATTCAGCATTTGACTTTTCCTATGAACTACATTCAATTAACTCTTGTTTATCTATATGTGACTTATCTGTGGAAAAAGTTAAATTGAAGACTGTCCTTTCCCAATTTCTCAATTTATTCCTCTCTTACCTCTGATACAACAAGTGTACATTCAGATATAGGAATACTAAGTACTTATTAATAGCCTGAATAAGATATAATTAGTACCATTCATCTGCTATTCTAAAAAATTCAAACAATGCATTTTAAATTAAATAAAATTCCTCTTTTCATGTCTGCATTGTTGCTTAACTCCAGGAGTGCAGTAACCAAAAGATAAATTTAGATAATGGCACCTATTAACTGTTACTGAAGCTTCTATGATTTTCAGGGAGGGTAAGATTCTAAGTGTATATCTAAATCTACAACCCAGTGGGTTCAAATTTCTAAGGAGTGCCCCTTGTACCATTATCCTTCTCTCTTACCATTTCTTCCCTCTTTCTTTCCATGATCCCAAAAGCCAAGAGCAACAAGCATATCAGTAGAGATCACAGCCAGGGTAGAATCCCTACAATCACATTTTATCCTAGCTCCAATTTAACAGTCACCTATGAGATTTAACAGTTAACCTGGTTTACTGAATCACCACTATATGTAACCGTGGGAAAATGCACATCTTGGAAGTTAGCGCCAAATCAAACAGATGAGTGAATTTTCCAAGTATTAATACGACTTTCCTTGTGTATTATTGCTATGGCCTTACAAGTGTATCTGCTGAATGCCACATAAAAACTAAAAAACTAAATTCATTTACAAACATGTAAATGTTTGCCATTGAGTCAACCTGAATATTCTTCTCATCCTGCTGTTTGGCAGTAGGGCAACAGCTGAGTATAAAATGAGAATGTAAGCTCCTGAGAGTGGAAGCTCTTTTCTTTCTTTTGGAATCCATGCCTGTCCCCTATTCTTACGCCCCATATTTGTTTTTAAGATCAATACTGAATTGACACTCTGGCCCAGAGATATTCTAATTGACCCAGAAATCAAGTAAAGGAGAAGCAGGGATTCTAAAAATTAAAGGATGGGCATTAATAAAGCAGCAAATATTTGAAATTGAAATTATCTAGATCATCTATATGACATAAATATATGCAGAAATATAGCTGTGTATCTGGATATATCTGTGTAGTCAGGTCTAGAAAGTGAAAGTGAAAGTTGCTCAGTCATGTCCAACTCTTTGCGATTCCATGGACTACACAGTCCATGGAATTCTCCAGACCAGAATACTGGAGTGGGTAGTCTTTCCCTTTCCCAGGGGATCTTCCCAGGGATCCCAGGGATCGAGCCCAGATCTCCCACATTGCAGGCTAATACTTTTCTTTTATTTATTTTTTTAATTTTTTTTTTTTTTGGCAGGCTAATTCTTTACCAGCTGAGCCACAGGGGAAGCAGTCAGGTCTAGATGAGTATCCAAACACTTCAAAAGCCTGAAAGAAAAGGATTTTAGACTTAATGTATCCTCATTAATTTACTTGGTGATTATTAATGGTTTACTTTCTTTGGCTGGAGCTGCAGAGTAGAGGAAAACAGACTTTGGATCCCTGTACTTCATCCATCTAATTCTCTTGAACATCTACTGTATTTAATATGCATATATGCAGCCAAGGTCATACTCTGCCTATACAAAGTGAAATGGAAGGTGAATATAGTTGTATATAGATAATGCAGATACAAAGATATGCTCGAGGAAACCTTGGGTGGGGTGGGGGTAAGGGGAGAGGGAAAATATTAGTTAGCATTATCTAAGCAAACTCTCCCAGAAACAAGTTATCTAGGTAATTCTTCAGCTTGTCACTCTTTTCCCTGTATTACAAACCTCATAAGTATGTACAGACTTGGCTTAAGGAATATGGAATGTCATTGATTTTTCATTGGGTTGATGAACATATATTTGAAAATCCTGTTTTCACTTCAGAATTTTGCCTCATTGTTAAGTACTTAATTGTGACTCTGAATGTGCTGTGTATTCTGTCTCCACCAACTCTCAAAGAACTGGAACGTATAAATTATTAGTGAAATGCATACACCTGAGGGCTCTATCATTTTCAACTTGTGAGGAAAACTGTAGTCTCCCATCTTTGGAAGTTCCAGACACCTGCCTCTGCCTTCTTTGACCTCTTACTCTTCCCTCCCCCAAGAGGAAAATCATCTCATTTAGAAAGACTCCACAAAATGGGATTTCCATTACAGCCAGTTGGAAGCTGTCACTTTTCATCTCTAAGCAGCACCCCTCACCATTCACGGTGCTAATGTTCCACAGAAGTGTGTGGCACTGGCCCGCTGGGAAGAGTGCTGGCTGGGCCTCCTCACTCTCCTGTATTAGTTGATCTCTGGAACTGAATTTCTCATCTGTATTTGCAGAAAGACTGGCTAAATTAAACTTTGTCAAAGTATGGAGTTGAATGGAATTTGTGGTACTTTCAGTCGAACTCAGCTCAAAAACAAAGTCAAGCGCTAAGGGCAAAGACAAACTCTCCATGGCTCAACTCAAGATATTACTCATTCTCTTATTGAAGTTTTTAGCAGGTTTTGGCCTATGTCTAGGAGTCACTGCCATACCATTTCCACCAGGTCAACAAGACAAAAGGAATGCAGAGAGATAAGG